CTCCACACGTATTCCCGCAGGCGAGAGCGTTACAACAAATCTCGTCGATCGCAGGAGGCGGCGTAATTTACCCTGCGTCCGCCCTCCGATATAGTGCCCAAGTTTGTCGCTAACGGGGGGTTTCCGCGGCAATAAAACCTACATATTTGGAATGTGGACAGGTGGAGAGGAATCCGATACCAAAATCGTCGATATCGGTGTGGCGAAGGTAATATAGAAAATTACCGCTCTTTGTACTAGAGGAAGTTAAGAAATGTATGCCTGTAAAAGTTCGCTCTCACATTGGCGAGCGTGGTCTGCGCACATTAGCCGAGTCGGCAAAGCCGCCGATCAATTTCGCTCTCACTAATCCTAAACGCACTCTTGCAGATCTATGAGCCTTTCATTCCAGTCTATCCAGCATAATGGTAAGAGGATGGAGTATAGTTCCAGGAGGACTGGACTGCCAGATACCCACAGGACTGTTCATACAAAGTCAGAAACAGGTGGTGATGAGAGTAGGAAAGGTTGTTTCTCGCGGTGAGAATTTGTCTTTTTGCCGTTATTGCAAGAAACATGGTCATGTCATAAATGACTGTTTTAAATTGGCTAATAAGCGTTCATTTGACAAAGGCAAACCTATTTTTCACGTCAGTGTTAATGATGTAACAAAGGTTGAATCTAAATATTCTGGTGATAAACCTAATCTTGGCCTTTCCCCTTTTTCCATGACTGAATCTTTGAATGTGACGCCTTCATTTAGACCATTTTGTTCCACAGGATTTATTTGTGCTGATGAATTGTGCAAGTCGTCTCCCCAGTCACTATTCTACGGGACTCGGCTGCAGATATATCATTGGTGCTCAAGGAGGCGGTTCCTAACCCTGACTGTTATACTGGAGAAATGGTAATTATCAATGGACTGATAGGGTCAAAGAGCATACCCATTTGTAAAGTTTATCTTAAATCTGATCTGATAACGGGTTACGTAAGGTTAGGTGTTGTTGATAATATTCCAAGTGATGGCATTTCGCTTCTCATGGGCAATGATCTCGTGGGTGAGAAGGTATGGCCTTGCCCTGTGGTTTCCCCTTGTCCCACTGAAGAGAACACCACAGTAGATTTAGAAAGGGAAGTCTCTCTCTCTCTCTCTCTCTCTCTCTCTTCTCTCATCTCTCTCTCTCTCTCTCTCTCCTCTCTTCTCTCCCTCTCCTCTCTCTCTCCCCCTCTCTCTCTCTCTCTCTCTCTCTCTCTCTCCCTCTCTCCTCTCTCCTGCTGCCATCTGCAGTGCAAGTCGTAGGTTCCTCCCTCCTCTAGCAAGGCGCATACCCCCGGCACTGCATCACCTTAATGAAGAGCCCTTCTGATATATTTACTGAAGAATTCACACTAGCAGATTTCTTTAATTCATCTGCTAAAGTTTTAAGTAAGTCTGAATCTGATTCCGATATAAAGAATTTTAAAGACACTCCAGTTACTAAGGGAAAGATCATTAAAGATGAACGTAAAGGTCCTGATTTGCAAGCATTTAATGATAAGCTAACTGACATAAATGATCTAGAAAATTTCCGTACTTGCTTTTCTCTCCAGTCAGGTGTTATTCGTAATTATAAGCCCTCTGATATATCTGCAGACGACACAAGTAAGAATATTGAGAAGGCCTTGATAAAGATTTTTACTCGGGTTGGTCTGTCCACCTTAGTACAGTTAGATAAAGGGTCACATTTCACTTCCAGATTATATGAAAAGGTTATGAAGTCCTTGGGTATACAGCAGTACAGATCCACCGCATATCATCCTCAGAGTCAAGGGCTAGTTGAAAGATTTCATATTTTAAAGACTATGATTAAAGCCTTCAGTTTAGAGACTGGTTATGAGTGGGATGAAGGAATAGATTTACTTTTATATTTAATAAGGGACAGTGTTCAAGAGAGCATTTTATTCCCCCATTTAAATTAATTTACGGCCATGAAGTGCGTGGACCACTAAAAGTTTTGGAAGAGTTTTGGTTAAATGAAGAGGGATTTCCCGTAGATATTTATGTGAATGACTTTGAGCATTTATTGCAGACAGCTAATTCATTAGCTCGTAATCATTTGGGTAAAGTTAATACTAAGATGAAAGAACATTGATAAAGTAAATGATGCAGAGGCAAGATTATTCAATGATTTAGTATTGGTTTTGTTAACTCTTCATAACCAGCCTCTTCAGTCTCGGGATGCGAGACTATTTAATGTTCTAGAACGATCTAGTGATGTTAGGTGTGCAATTGAAATCCCTGAGAGACGTAAAAAAAACGTCATGTGCATGTGAACCTCCCGAAAAAGTACTATGAACGGGATGATTTAAAGGAAAATACGGGAAACGTAAGTGATGTTTCAGTGATTGTACTTTCTAACAGTAATGAAAATGATGAAAATATCTTTGTGGAGCCTAATCTCACGAATTCAGTAATTTCGGTTAACCCTGATAAACTTAAACCCTTTTCTGCTGCCCAAGCAGCAAACCCATTTTCTTCTGCAGGAGTATGACGAGCCATTCAGTGAAGTAGCTCGTCTCTGTCCACTGCTGGATCACAATGCCGAGACCAGGGATGTTCAGCCAGTGCTTCAGTTTCCGTGTCCCCTTGATGTGATGAATGGGGCGTCTTTGCAAGCTGAGGTTCGGCGCCGGAGGGAGCAGGGGTTCATCTGTCCTTGCTTGGGCCCCCTTGCCTCTGCTGCAGTCCTGGTTCTTGAGAGTAGTGGCCTTCATCCACGTGTTGACTGCAGGAGGGCCAGAACGGATGCGTGGGCAGTTCGTCTTCGCTCCGTGGGATAGCGGGCAGCAGCGACTACGTCAGGAGGGCACGCGTTCGTGATCGTGGGCGAACAATTTGCAGAAAGTCGAATAGTGAAGTGTTCACACGGTATTTCTGTCTTAAGTTTCAGGCCACCGTCGAAAAGGAGCCCTTAATGATAGTATTTGTAATTTGAAAAGTTTAGTGTTTATTTAACAATATCTGTTCATCCCGTCGAAAATCGCTGATCATAACTTTTATAGAAAATAAAGTTCAGAAACATTCCAAGTGTTCAGGTGGACAGACATTATTAAGATATTGCATATTAGAGGCACACGATATCACAGCGGACGCAATTTCAAGATCGTAAGTAATAGATCGTAAGTAATATAGTCTGCACACGCTGGCCGCTGACTCTACGCTGCGGCGGACAGAAAGGAAAGGAGAAGACGCTACATTCTCCGTCTGCCGAACGAGCTGTGCGGTGATTCTACAGAGCAGTTAGCTAGTTGAACTTTTTCCCCATATGGTAAAAAGTTCTTTTCTTGCGGGGAGGAATATTACATAACGGCAAAATTAATTAATGATTAATTAGTAAAAGGGCTAACTCACTGTAAGCTACTGTAACGAGGCAGTTCTTGCCGTAGCGATCGTATCCCCCCCCCCTACCGTCTTGAGGCCTTGGGAAGATTTCCTCGGCCACTCCTCCCCGCCATAGGCCTAGGCAAGACCTCTGTCATTGCTCTGCATTTATTTTTTATTTTTATTTTTTCGGGGTTTGTATTCTGTTAGGTTTAGGGCGATGCATTGAATTTTATTAATGTATTGCGTAGGCAGGGTTTCTTTTGTTTATTTCTTTTCGTGTGTTTTTCGTCTCGTGTTTTGTTTGTATATTTTGGTGAAGGAAATAAATAAAAATAAGTGGTAAATATTGAGTTTATGCATTTTTTTTCCATTTCATAGATAAATGATTTTAGTTACTAAATAATAATCATTAGTGGTATACAATTCTTGAGTAACTGAAAGTTAATTAACATAATAAATAACGTATAATGAAAGATGAATAATGATTGACAATAAGTGACTCTATTGTATCAGTGTATAAATAAGAAAGGAATATAATATAAGTTAAGAAAAGAATACATAATTGATAATGAAGAAAATAACGTTAATGGGAGATGATGATAAAATAATGAACAATGAACAAAGTGAATGATTATAATAACTTGACGGCATTAATGAGCCTTATATGGAATGAAGAATGAATTAACCAGAAGAATATTTACAATCACTAATGGTATTTTAGCACGAGCTGTTGTTACGTGGTATTTAGCCGTTCATACCAGGCCATATCCTTCAGATTTGACTTCTCGTCTATGATTTTGGCTTCCGCTTGGGAGGAGTCGAGTTCTTCCCCTTAATTCTCTTGGTGACATACCAGCCGTGAAAGTGGGTGGGGGGGGGGGCCTGTCCGGGATCTTGAACTGTCAATTCGCATTTTGTTAATCACTTTTGTTTGCCATTTGTAACATGTGATTCCCTTGGTATTGCACTTTTATCGTGTTTTTTTTTTCTCAGCCGTTGTAACACCATGTTCCGTTGGTTTTGTTGTTTTGTGATCGTGCAATTGACTTCATTACGTCTCGTGTATTTTGGTCATTAAGACACCGAGTCGCTTCTTTCTTGTGCATGCAGAGTGCATTTAAGTGATCTTTGGTTTTGTAAACAATCGTCTGTATATATTTGACTTTTGTTTTTGCTTGGTGACCATATTAGGCATTTTGCTGTTTTTGTTTGCCTTTAATCGTACGGTATAGTGATTTGATTCACAGGTTTTGCGATTGTTCACGCATTTCGTATTTTTCTATCTAGCTAGCTAGCTTATTTTGGTACTGGTAATATCGATTCGGATTCCTCTTACTCTCTACTTGCAAATATATAGTATTTATTGCGCGGAAACCTCCGTAGCGCAACTGAAATAAATTGAAATTATTCACTAACTTTCCATTTGTGCAAAGGGGCTGCCGCCCCCGCCGCCGAGGTAACAAAACCTCCACCACGTATTCCCGGCAGGCTAGAGCGTTAGTTATCGTCGATGTCGGAGCGGCGGGCGTATTATTACAGTTACCTCGTAAGATTCCCACTGAATCAGCATATTAACCTTAGTATAGTCAACATTGTATATAGAGACGTTTGTAGTATAATCAGGATGAACAGGGTGGCCCGCCCTCGGCGGGTTTGCGCCTCTTTCGATGTTACACCGATGGCCTCAAGGTCGAGTTTCCCTTCCTCTGGAATAACGACATCCGTATTCCTAACCGAAATAACCGTCGCGTTCAGAAGTCAGTCTCCGCGATGGCCGAGTGTGGAGGGTGCTCGTATTCGGAGACGGATTTTTCTGCGCGAAATTGCTAGCCAGGAGAAAAGCTAGATGTGCTTCCGCCACGGCCTCCTCCGTCGGGAGAAAGCCTGCGGCAGGTGTGGGCAGCCAGGACGCACCCTGTCTCCTTCACATTCTGCGGCAAAGGAGCACCCTCCCTACTAATTAGCGGCATTAATCAATCAGGTTAGTACCTTAAAAATCCTAGGTTATTGTAGGTTATCCGCTCCGCATCTAGTTCGTGTGCGCTCTATCCTGCCGTGAATACGTGGTGGTTTTGTTTCCTCGGCGGGGGTCGGGGGCGGTAGCCCCCCCAGGGGGGGGTCGCAGAGGGCACAGCCCCCTGCAATGAAAAGTCATGTGAATAACCATGATTATTTTCACTGAGGTTAGATTATTAGGGTAATTTTATATATTACGTCCGCCGCTCCGACATCGGGGCCAAGTTTGTCGCTAACGGGGGTTTCCGCGCAATAAAAACCTACATATTTGCATTGTATAGAGTGAGAGGAATCCAACGATACCAAAATCGTCGATATCGGTTATGCGGACGTAATATAGAAAATTACCCTTATTTTCGCCTGTCTCTTCTTCTCGGTGATTCATTATGTTCGGTGTTAAAAGTTTTGTTGCAAATCCGTCAGCCGAAGTGTTGCTTCCCAGTGGAAGTGGAGTTGGCCGCTCATTATTGCATCCCTTTTCGGTCATCCTTACGGAAGGATGAAATTCGTACATTAGTGACCGAGTATTTATTAGAACACAAGGTGTTAAGTGAGGAGGATTTAGAGCCCTTGTGTCCTCGGGATGTCACGATGGCCCGCCAGTATGACCTGGAGAGCCGTAAGATAGATTTGGAAATGTTTAAGGCAGAGAATGAGCGGATGCGTCTCATGCAGAGACCTGATCGGGAACACCATCCTCATTTTCGTGTAGAGGATGCCATTAAATTTGTCCCTAAATTCAATGAGACAGCCAGAGTATTTTTTCATTCATTTTGAGCGAGTTGCTGCCTTGCATGGTTGGCCCGAAGATAAGTGGGTATTGCTTGTTCACAGTGCATTTGTTGGCAGAGCTCAAGAGGTTTTCTCAGCTCTGGATTTCGTACAGTCACAATGTTATAATGTAGTAAAACAAGCTGTTCTAAATGTTTATAAAAGAGTACCAGAGGCTTACAGACAAGATTTCCGAAATTATCGTAAAGATAGTCAACAAACCTTTGTTGAATTTATTCGCCAAAAGCAACTTTTGTGTAAAATATGGGTCGAGAGTGAACTTGATGCACTCGAGTACGATAAATTACTCGAGCTCTTTGTACTAGAGGAAGTTAAGAAATGTATGCCTGTAAAAGTTCGCTCTCACATTGACGAGCGTGGTCTGCGCACATTAGCGAGGTCGGCAGCCGCCGATCATTTCGCTCTCACTAATCCTAACTACTCTTGCAGATCAACCTTCTTCCCGGTCATATCAAATAGCAAAAATAAATTGCAAATCTTCATTCAGTTCTATTCCAGCCCGTTTTAATGCGTAAGATGCATGGAGTATATCGTGGAAGAGAGATAGCACATGGTGCATGGTGATCGGATCTAATGAGCCTTCATTCCAGTCTATCCAGCATAATGGTAAGAGGATGGAGTATAGTTCCAGGAGGACTGGACTGCCAGATACCCACAGGACTGTTCATACAAAGTCAGAAACAGGTGGTGATGAGAGTAGGAAGGTTGTTTCTCGCGGTGAGAATTTGTCTTTTTGCCGTTATTGCAAGAAACATGGTCATGTCATAAATGACTGTTTTAAATTGGCTAATAAGCGTTCATTTGACAAAGGCAAACCTATTTTTCACGTCAGTGTTAATGATGTAACAAAGGTTGAATCTAAATATTCTGGTGATAAACCTAATCTTGGCCTTTCCCCTTTTTCCATGACTGAATCTTTGAATGTGACACCTTCATTTAGACCATTTTGTTCCACAGGATTTATTTGTGCCGATGAATTGTGCAAGTCGTCTTCCCCAGTCACTATTCTACGGGACTCGGCTGCAGATATATCATTGGTGCTCAAGGAGGCGGTTCCTAACCCTGACTGTTATACTGGAGAAATGGTAATTATCAATGGACTGATAGGGTCAAAGAGCATACCCATTTGTAAAGTTTATCTTAAATCTGATCTGATAACGGGTTACGTAAGGTTAGGTGTTGTTGATAATATTCCAAGTGATGGCATTTCGCTTCTCATGGGCAATGATCTCGTGGGTGAGAAGGTATGGCCTTGCCCTGTGGTTTCCCCTTGTCCCACTGAAGAGAACACCAGTGATTTAGAAAGGGAGTCTTCTCTCTCCTGCATGTGCTGCCATCTGCAGTGCAAGTCGTAGGTCCTCCCCTCCTCCTAGCAAGGCGCATACCCCCGGTACTGCATCACCTGATGAGAGCCCTTGATTATTTACTGAAGAATTCACACTAGCAGATTTCTTTAATTCATCTGCTAAAGTTTTAAGTAAGTCTGAATCTGATTCCGATATAAAGAATTTTAATGAACAACTAATTTCTAAGAAAATTGCTTTTCTCTCCAGTCAGGTGTTATTCGTAATTATAAGCCCAATGATATATCTGCAGACGACACAAGTAAGAATATTGAGAAGGCCTTGATAAAGATTTTTACTCGGGTTGGTCTGTCCACCTTAGTACAGTTAGATAAAGGGTCACATTTCACTTCCAGATTATATGAAAAGGTTATGAAGTCCTTGGGTATACAGCAGTACAGATCCACCGCATATCATCCTCAGAGTCAAGGGCTAGTTGAAAGATTTCATATTTTAAAGACTATGATTAAAGCCTTCAGTTTAGAGACTGGTTATGAGTGGGATGAAGGAATAGATTTACTTTTATATTTAATAAGGGACAGTGTTCAAGAGAGCATTTATTCCATTTAAATTAATTTACGGCCATGAAGTGCGTGGACCACTAAAAGTTTTGGAAGAGTTTTGGTTAAATGAAGAGGGATTTCCCGTAGATATTTATGTGAATGACTTATTTATTGCAGACAGCTAATTCATTAGCTCGTAATCATTTGGGTAAAGTTAATACTAAGATGAAAGAACACTTTGATAAAGTAAATGATGCAGAGGTAAGATTATTCAATGATTTAGTATTGGTTTTGTTAACTCTTCATAACCAGCCTCTTCAGTCTCGGGATGCGAGACTATTTAATGTTCTAGAACGATCTAGTGATGTTAGGTGTGCAATTGAAATCCCTGAGAGACGTAAGAAAAAACGTCATGTGCATGTGAACCTCCCGAAAAAGTACTATGAACGGGATGATTTAAAGGAAAATACGGGAAACGTAAGTGATGTTTCAGTGATTGTACTTTCTAACAGTAATGAAAATGATGAAAATATCTTTGTGGAGCCTAATCTCACGAATTCAGTAATTTCGGTTAACCCTGATAAACCTAAACCCTTTTCTGCTGCCCAAGCAGCAAACCCATTTTCTTCTGCAGGAGTATGACGAGCCATTCAGTGGAGTAGCTCGTCTCTGTCCACTGCTGGATCATGCTGCCGAGACCAGGGATGTTCAGCCAGTGCTTCAGTTTCCGTGTCCCGTTGATGTGATGAATGGGCGTCTTTGCAAGCTGAGGTTCGGCGCCGGAGGGAGCAGGGGTTCATCTGTCCTTGCTTGGGCCCCCTTGCCTCTGCTGCAGTCCTGGTTCTTGAGAGCAGTGGCCTTCATCCACGTGTTGACTGCAGGAGGGCCAGAACAGATGCGTGGGCAGTTCGTCTTCACTCCGTGGGATAGCGGGCAGCAGCGACTACGTCAGGAGGGCACGCGTTCGTGATCGTGGGCGAACAATTTGCAGAAAGTCGAATAGTGAAGTGTTCACACGGTGTTATTTCTGTCTCAAGTCTCAGGCCACCGTCGAAAAGGAGCCCTTAATGATAGTATTTGTAATTTGAAAAGTTTAGTGTTTATTTAACTATCTGTTCATCCCGTCGAAAATCGCTGATCATAACTCTTTTATAGAAAATAAAGTTCAGAAACATTCCAAGTGTTCAGGTGGACAGACATTATTAAGATATTGCATATTAGAGGCACACGATATCACAGCGACGCAATTTCAAGATCGTAAGTAATATCGTAAGTGTCTGCACACGCTGGCCGCTGACTCTACGCTGCGGCGGACAGAAAGGAAAGGAGAAGACGCTACATTCTCCCGTCTAGCCGAACGAGCTGTGCGGTGATTCTACAGAGCAGTTAGCTAGTTGAACTTTTCCCCATATGGTAAAAAGTTCTTTCTTGCGGGGAGGAATATTACATAACGGCAAAATTAATTAATGATTAATTAGTAAAAGGGCTAACTCACTGTAAGCTACTGTAACGAGGCAGTTCTTGCCGTAGCGATCGTACCCCCCCCCCCTCCCCCCTACCGTCTTGAGGCCTTGGGAAGATTTCCTCGGCCACTCCTCCACCGCCATAGGCCTAGGCAAGACCTCTGTCATTGCTCTGCCATTTTTATTTTTATTTTTTCGGGGTTTGTATTCTGAGTTAGGTTTAGGGCGATGCATTGAATTTTATTAATGTATTGCGTAGGCAGGGTTTCTTTTTCTTTTGTTTTTCTTTTCGTGTGTTTTTCGTCTCGTGTTTTTGTTGTATTTTGGTGAAGGAAATAAATAAAAATAAGTGGTAAATATTGATTTTATGCATTTTTTTCCATTTCATAGATAAATGATTTTAGTTACTAAATAATAATCATTAGTGGTATACAATTCTTGAGTAACAAAGTTAATTAACATAATAAATAACGTATAATGAAAGATGAATAATGACAATAAGTGATATTGTATCAGTGTATATAAATAAGAAAGGAATATAATATAATAGTTAAGAAAAGAATACATAATTGATAATGAAGAAAAAACGTTAATGGGAGATGATGATAAATAAATGAACAATGAACAAAGTGAATGATTATAATAACTTGACGGCATTAATGAGCCTTATATGGAATGAAGAATGAATTAATACAAATGAATTAACCAGAAGAATATTTACAATCACTAATGGTATTTTAGCACGAGCTGTTGTTACGTGGTATTTAGCCGTTCATACCAGGCCATATCCTTCAGATTTGACTTCTCGTCTATTTGGGAGAATTTGAGTTCAGCGGAGCGCTCTTCCCCTTAATTCTCTTGTGACATACCAGCCGTAACAATATATATAGTATACACACACACATTAGTACACACATACAAACACGTAGAGAGACACATATACATTGAATCTGCAAACTTGATTTATCTAAATAATATACGACTATTCATAGTGAGTGTGTTGTAGGGGTGAAGATTAAAGTCATTATGGGACTGTGGCTCTGCCTTTGCTGATGGCCAGCTAGAAGACCAGCTGAAGTGACAGCGGATGAAATTTCGCCGCTGACCGGTCTGCCACATCATGTTCATACCAAAATGGTTTCAGTAATTTTCATGTTTAATTTATTTGAACATGGGAAATTATCTTGTTTTAAACACTTTGTTTGCATCAAAACATCTGCAGTCATAGAGAATAACATGCAAAGACCATGCAAAATTAGTTGAGGCGAGGTCTGATGTCTAAGGTAGGGGTTGATCCCCTGCATTGGATCCTTGTCCACGTCTCCCAAGACCCCCCCCCCCCCACAACAACGGGCATGAGATTATCTTATTGCTGGTTGTATCATCTTGTTATATACAAAGTGTGGTCTAAAGAAAATCGCTTAAATTCTACAGGATTTGATTAAAATTCCATATATTTTTTGGTTCAAATTTCTGGTCTTTCTTATACTTCATTGGTATTTTTGTGTATTTTATATTTTTTATCATAGTAATTGCTTGCTTGCTCATAAATGATGCACTAATATTTTGGGCGTTTCATCTGGTTGGTCTGACAATTTTATTTGAATCTTTTCACGCCTTCCGTTTCTCTTTTGCCTTTTTGTGGTATATTCTCTCAAACACACAGTTCGCCGTTTGCCGATTTACAAGCCATAATCAGTAGATTGTTGATCCGTTTAAGAAAGTAGAGGGAGAGGGAGAGGGGGGTCGCATTGTAATCTTTTCTTAATCTTTCGTAGAAATGTCTTTAAGCAATTATTTGCGTTTTGATTTTTTCTAACTTGTATTTTGTCTTCTATAGTCTAAAAAACAACCTTGTAAACCCTGAAGAATCTGGAGCCAAAGATAATTTCCTGATCGTTGCGTCATTCCTTAAAACATCTCTTACTCGGTTTTTAAGAAATGCGCAGAGCAAAGAACAAAGAAAGGAGAAACCGAAAGGAAGGACAGACGCATTTCACACTATTGTTTTTACTTAGCAATCCTCACCAAAAGTACACATGGAGGGAGTGAGTCTGACGGCGGCATTGTACTGTCTGATGGCTTCCTCGTTATCCTTCAGTATTTGGTACATGTCGCCATAGTCTATCATTTTCTTTACGATGAAGAAGTCGCTGTCTGGTGCCCTCTCCTGGGTGCTGCCGTCCTCCATGGAAGTGCCAACGTGACCTGTTTGGGTGTTGGTACTTTTGTTATCTCCTGGGATGTTGGTGTCTTTGTGGTCTGTCTGGTCTGTCTGGGCATCAAGTCCGGTGTGTTCCGTCTGGGTATCGGTAACTCTGCGTGCCGTTTGGGTAGGGGTATCCTGGTATTCCGTTTGGGCGGGGCTCTGGGCGTTTTCTGATATTCTATTTTCGACGGCGTTGAGCGCATCATCAGCATCCAAGTCGTTCTGCTCCTCCTCCTCCTCCTCTAACTTCCTCAGCTTGTGCTTGTATTTCAGATTTTTCACGTCCCCTTCTCTCCTCACGTTCTCAGCGCCGAGTTCCTTTAAAATGCTGTGGTAATACTTCTTCCTCAAGGCGGCCTTGATGTCGTCTTTCTTGTAAAGGTCCTTGGAATAATCTTCCTCTTCGTCTAAGTCTTTCACGTTATCTGAAGGGCTAGTAATGTCCTTGTTGAGTGAGTGTTTGGTATCGTCTGTATTAGATTCCTTGTTGTCACCTTTGTACAGTTCTTCTTCAATGCTACCCTTAACCCGAAGGTCGCTGATTTTATCTTTATTGCCAATGTTCTTCCTGCCATTATCCTTTTCAGCTTGCCCAACGTCCACAACAATTTTGGCAGCTGAACCTTCACCGATTTCCGTCTTGGCGTCGGCTCCTCTTGTTATTTCGGTCCCTAGAGATTCACTCAGGATCTTGTTGACCAACTCTTCCGTTAAATCGTCATCCTCCTGATCCTCTACATCTGGGCCCGACTCTGTGTCCTCCGTTTCTGTGCTTGGAAGGGCGTCTTGGGCGTCGTCCTCCGCAGCTTCCTTCACGAAGAAGCCCACCTCCTCGGGGAACAGGATCTGGTTCTGACGTGTTGGAAGGGACTGCCAGAAACTCCGCAACTGAAAGATTTTTAAAAAATATATTTTTGTTAGTAATATTTACTGGTATTTTTACGGATTATCCGAATCCTGCTGCAAGGTATAAGAAACCCTTTAATTTATTTTTGTATTAACCTTTCATTACCTTTTAAGATATATCTGAATAAAGTTAAAAGGAGCTAGTGTAGAAAATCTATGGTGGCGATGCTTTTCAAAACATTTGAATATAAAGCTCCTGCAAAGAGCTCAACAGTAATTTCAAAATACAACCCTGCAATTCCAAACCACAAACATAATACAAGAATCCTCATTTCCTTTGCTACTCAACAAGTGCACAAGACGTTCAACCCACCTGCGTGCGGTTGTCCTTGCGCATTTCAGGTGAAGGCGACAAAGACAGGTGAACCAAGGAGGCGTCGGTCACCGGATCCCATTCGAAGCCCAAGGAGTCGTCAGGTGTCGGTTTCCTGTCGAGACAAAAGTCAGTTACACACTGTCGTTGTTCCAGCAGCATTACTTAGTGGCAATTGTAAGGGATCTGGGAATATTTCGCTGTACAAAAAATGAGTTGGAGCAATGGATTATGCTGTTCCTTGCCGTTCAGAGAAGGGACTCTTGCTTCAGAAGAAAAGCGTAACAGCTATTTTTTCCATCAACTATTTTTTTGCCAACGATCTATTTCCAGTTAATTTTCTTACCCTTTCTACTTTTTTTTTTTCAAGTTGCAATGACCCTTGCAGATTGGATGTCCCCCTGAACTCATCATTTACAGATACATATTAATAAAAATGGTGATGGATATGATTCGGTTTCTTGTTCTCCTTTTTGCAGCTGAAAGAAATAAGCAAACTACCCAGTTTGACCTCTCATATAAAATACAAAGCCTCTTTTGATCTTCCAAGAGGTGCTAGATTCCCCAAGTGCCGTATGAAAGAAAACCAAAATAAGTAAGGTTTGTCATATATGGATAAAACACTACTTTCTATCAATAATGGCACTATGATTGCTGCTATGCTTCATATCTTTCTCCAGTTGCAAAATTGGTCGAACGAAAAAAAAACAGCTGTCAACACTTTCACCTCTCATACTAAGATTGCTTTTCTTTTTGGTTAAATAGTTCATATCATCGACAAATATCGACAATTATGAAAAAATCGGCATCTCTTCAATACAAAGGCGAAAAGAAACCTAAAGAATACCAGGAGAAAACGTCCAGTTTCTACACATGACTCACACAAAATCCACCAAAATCTGGGGCAGGATTGGTGGGAGTGTCGCTGCGTCAGAAAAAAAAATCCTGTTGCTTGGCCCGCGCGCCCGGAAAATATCCTCGGTTTCACGACCACATATCCAATTTATCAAAGCTAGTCCATCTCTCTCCACCTGCTTAGGGTGAGAAATTGAGGATCAAACCAAACTCTGATACAAGACTCACCCTGTCTTAGCGAAGTTCGTCCAAAGCGTCGTGATCATTTCACCCGTCAAAAGGTCGTCCTTGATCCTCAGATAGGGGAACCCATTGCTACTACTGAAGAGGTACTGCAGGTCGTCTCCGTGACTTACCCCTGTCAAGGTGATAGGAGAAAGGTGTTAGTTTATAAAATATACCGCATAGAGCAGGGCTTCACCGGTTCAGTGAGGATCAGATAAAAATTAACTAGACTTTTTGCAATGAAAAAGGGTTTATTTAACTTTATATTATTTTTTTCTTTAGATGATTTACTATATAGGTGTAATAATACTTTGTATATCAAATATATGTAGGAGACAATCTCTATAAAGGATGTACATTATACACATTGCATGCAAAGTGGTGTTTATGTGAATATTTTAGATGAAGGGGCGCCTATTGCTTTCATCAGGTTCCTAAGGTGCTCCGTGACTCTAAAAAGGTTAATAACCACTGGCATAGAGAGCATCTTGAAATCTAGTTCGCTTTTGGCATTGTGTGTGATGTGAAGATGCTCAAATTATAATATACCTTTAAAACACACACACCTGGGTTAAAACGTATACTATACGTAACCTTGCCATAAGTCTAGGCTATGGCACTATGTAAATGAGAAAAGGAGGAAATGAAAGAGGTAGAGGACACAGGGAAATATGAAATGAAAAAATAAGATTAATCAAAATTTTCGTGAAACAGAAAAAGAAAAGGCTAGAAGTACACACATCTTAGGGTGTAATGTAGAAAAAAAAGTCAAATATCTGAAAACACTGCAACAAAATAGTTGAAGCAGAAGATGCGAAAGCTTGTTTGTCCGCCATACTCACACATGTTATCGAAGAAAAGCTGGAATATGTCTGTGCTTGAGGCCAGGCCACGGTGTTCGAGCTCATAAAAGTAAACCTTGGAGCCATGTTGGGCGTGCAGCATGGCTGTGTGGTCTGTGCAAACCGAGAAGTACCGGTCTGTGTACAGCTGCAGATTGGGGGTGGCGTTAGCAATACTTTAGCACAAACATTAACAAGATTACTAAAATCCTACATTAGCAAAACCAAAATAATTCCACAGACAATTGTACAAAAGACACGGCACAAGAAGCGACCAAGCATCCAACCTGAGTGAGATTAGCAACTTCCTTAATACTGATTATACTGTTTCCAACGTAGTAGAAATAGCTGACGCCCGCGAGGTGTCCGGGTTCTATCTCGCTCTCGAAGCTCAGGGACACGGGGCCAGCCATGCGGAGGTTGGTCCCCAGTTCGTTCACGGGGTTCCAGCTTGAAAACATGGCTGCGGGGGTTGAATGGAGTCAGTGAACAAAGGCCAATGGGGGAAGCGGAGTCAGTGAACACAGGCCAAGGGGGGGAGGGGAGGGGAGTCAGTGAACAATGGCCAAGGGGGGGGGGGGGGTCAGTGGACAAAGGCCAAGGGGGGAAAACGAAGTCAGTGGACAAAGGCCAAGGGGAAACGAAGTCAGTGAACAAAGACCAAGGGGGGGGGGGGGGGAAGCGGAGTCAGTGAACAAGACCAAGGGGGGGGGGGAAGCGGAGTCAGTGAACAAAGGGGGGGGGAAGCGGAGTCAGTAAACAAGACTGGGGGGGGGGGGGGAGACGGAATCAGTAAATAATAAAAAATATATATATATAACATTCTCAACTACTCGTCCAATTCAATCCTAAATTTCAACCCTTACTCGCAGTCATCAAAGCCCCCTCGTGCTTCGTCACGCCGAGGATGAGGTCCACCTTCGAGAAGTTTCCGGAAGAGAGGAGAACGGCCGGGTCCGCAGGGATGAAGTCGCCGTCCACGCGAGGAACCATCGTGAACGGGAAGACGCTCCACAACTACAAGGAGAACGTGAGATCAGGAGGAGGAAGAGGAGGAAGAGGAGGAAGAGGAGGGGCTAGAGGAGAGGAAGGAGGATCGTGGTCAGGAGGAGGGAGAAGGAAGGAGGATCACGTGGTCAGGAGAGGAAAGGATCACGGAGGAGGAGGGAAAGGAAGGAGGATCACGTGGTCAGGAGGAGGGAAAGGAAGGAGGATCACGTGGTCAGGAGGAGGAAAGGAAGGAGGGTGGTCAGGAGGAGGATCAGCAGCAGGAGTGGACGAGGAGAAGGATGAAGAGGACTTTATAAGGAAAAAAGAGGAGAGGACAAGACTGAAGAAATGTGGAGAATTAAGCTGATGAGAAGGGGATTTGTGGAAAATTAGGGAAAACAAGCATTTCTGGGAGGTTTCTACAGATTTTTTATTCTGCATGATGTATATCCCCTTCGATATATATATATATATATATATATATATATATATATATATATATATATATATATATATATAATATATATATATATATATATATAAAGGGAATGCATCAAATGTAAGCCACACGTACTCAGGTGATCAAAATTAGCTAGATGATCTGACTCTCCTTCAGTTACACACACACACACAAAAATAAAATAAATAATAATAAAATAAATAAAAAATAAATAAATAAAAACTGAAAACTGATAATTACCAAGCTGTTTTCTCTTAACAACCCATGAATCACCGACTGAGGGGAAGGAAACACACCCCTACCTGCAAGGGTATGTAGGCATGGACGAGCTTCTCCACCCGGACGCCGCGGAGACAGTCCAGCAGGGTGTCCTTCTCCACACAGCCCGCCTCCTTGGCCACCTGCAGGGCGACCTCGCGGTGTCTGCCCCTCGAGTACTTGGGGCAGAGGGCGGATCCAGACTGCAGGATGGCCCGGGAGAAGAGTCCTGGGAGGTGAAGGAGGTGGGTCAGGTTTTGAAGGGAGGGAGGTCAGGTTTTGAAGAAGGTAGGGAGGTCAGGTTTTGAAGAAGGTAGGGAGGTCAGGTTTTGAAGAAGGTAGGGAGGTCAGGTTTTGAAGAAGGGAGGTTAGATTTTGAAGAAGGGAGGTCAGGTTTTGAAGAAGGGAGGTCAGGTTTTCAGAGACAGGTTTTGAAGAAGGGAGGTCAGGTTTTTGAAGAAGGGAGGTCAGGTTTTGAAGAAGGGAGGTCAGGTTTTGAAGAAGGGAGGTCAGGTTTTGAAGAAGGGAGGTCAGGTTTTGAAGAAGGGAGGTCAGATTTTGAAGGGAGGTCAGATTTTGGCTTTCCCATTTCAAACAAGGCATTCATAGTTTTTTATGGGGGGGAGGGGGATCTGGATTATCTTTTAATTCACTGATAATAGTCCCTAGTTAATCCCACAAGTAAATCATTAGGAATTAAAAGAAACAAAGAATCTCCTATACCAAAGCCAAATAAAATGGTCACTTTTTAACACCCTTTTAAACATCTAAGATCCACTTGTTAATAATGCAGATCCTTAATCCCTTAACCCGTAAACTGTGCAATAGGGTTCCGGTGGTCAACCCTAGTTCAAAAGTAATTTTTAGGTTATAATATGAAAGACGGCATGGAACGTATCAGGAAAACCAATAATAGTTCATCATTTACCTCAATTCAGGTGCAGTGACGTAGCCTGTGTCACAAATTTCAAAACTCCAAGGCGCAGTTGTGCTTCTCATCACACGATGCATGTCGCAATTTACGGGATAACAAACAAACCCAACCAAGGCGGCA